TTTCGAACTCCTGAGCTCAAACAATCCGCCTGCCTCGGCCTCCCAGAGAGCTAGGATTACAGGCATGAGCCACCGCGCCCGGCCCATACCTGTTTTTTATTGTTTTTTAAAGAGAAATAAAAGGGACAGCTACTGTGAAAGTAGTTTAATATATATTTCTAAATACAGTTCTTAACAGATAAGTTGAACCCTTTGTCATAGAGAAAGCCTAAAATGATTTATAGTCCACATTCATCAATTTATAACTTTTGGTTCTCACAGGTCGCATTTCTGTGCCTATTGATTTGCAGAAAGTAGATCAGTTTGATCCATTTACTGTTCCAACCATAAGGTATGTATGTCCCATACTGATCACTCCTCTTTTGTATGTGATTATTCTGAACTTTAAGTAAATTGGATTAGATTCCTTCTTAGAGAGGTAGCTGCATGGGAATGGTATATTTGATTATGGAAACCAAATAAGTCCCAGCTACTTGGGAGGCTGAAGCAAGAGGATTGCTTGAGCACAGGATTTCAAGGCCAGCCTCAGCAACATAGTAAGACCTTTTTTCTAAAAACAACAAGAAAAGAAAGATTTTAAGGTCAAATAAGTTTGGGAAATGCTGACTTAAACAGATTAAAAGTTTCTTTTACTACAGGATTTCCCAGTCTTTAATATGATAATGTGCATGAAAAACTCCAAGAAAAGGTTATGGTTTTTAGAATATCACAAATTTAATTGACCACATAATTTATTCACAGAAAATTTTATGGGATTCATGTGCTATGATACACTGGGTACTGTCGACCAGGAACCAACTTTAAAATTCTCTTATACTGTTACTTGTAGCTTCATCTGCCATGAATTGGATGCCAATTCCACTAATGAAGAGGAAAAAGAAGGGAATGAAGCAGAATCTGATATCAAACATAGAACCAGAGGTAGGTTAACATACTGCAACTTCACTTTAACATAAGCTTTTCGTGCAGATATCCATCTGTCACTCCAATAATTAAGTTTCCTTGGTTTCAGCCCAGAATGGATTGATTTATCCTGAAACCAGCTCAGTAACAATAATGTTATAGCAATGTTTCTGTCCATTCTTCATCAATTGCCTAGGGGGTGCTATTGAATCCAGTCTGATTAAACAAATATTTACTAAGCAACTTCTAAATGCTGGGATCTATATTGTAAGATTAAATTATCAATTGGTATTGATGACTGAATCTCAGTCTCTTAAATTCAACAGCTATTTATTTAACACCTACTATAAATGCAGTACTTTTGTTTGTTTTTGATGCATCCAGATAGGTCTTATGGTAAAATATATGTCTAAACTGTTGATTGAATTGTATATTCAAGAATTTGAAGGAATTTCTAAATCTTCCTGCTAATGAAAGTCAACCCTTATACAACAGTCACTAGCAACATGCGGCTTGAGTGCTTGAGATGTGGCTAGTGTGACTTAGAAACTAAATTTTTGGGTTCACTTAATTTTAATTTAAATAGCTAGATGTGGTTAGTGACTACTGTATTGGACAGTACAGGTTTGTGGTCTCTGATTGACCTTTTTTGTTCAAATGTTGCCACCCTTTCAAAAACCCAAGCTCAAATACCACTTCATCTCTTCCAGCTCTAACATAATACCAAAACATGGTACATTCCACTATTAACGCTGTGGAAAAATTACAAGTATTCTGTTTAAAGTATTTGAAAAAAGTCTCTAACATAAAAAACAAATAAGAATACATTGGAAAAGGGAACTCAGGGAAAAAAGACAATGCAAGGAACAAAGGAAACCTTTTTTTAAAAAACTGTGATAGCGTCAGAGAATGGTAAGCATCCATGAAGCAAGATCAGAATCCTACGGTAACTCAGAGAACAAGAAAGTGCTCTTAGAAATCAAAACCATAATCATTAGAATAAAAAATTCAGTGGAAGAGTTGGAAAAGTTGAAATTTCCCAGAAAGTAATAAAAAAAGACAAATTTATTGTTGTTTTAAGGAGGAAAAAGATAAAGAAAATTGGAGAACTGGTTTAGGAGGACTAATATTTGACTATTGAAGTTTCAGAAAGAAAATAAATAAAACAGAGAAGAAGAAATTGTCAAAATTATTTGGAAAATATCCCAAAAATGAGCCCTTTATTAAAAGGCTTCAGCACAATCATATGAAAACAGACCTACATCAAAGGCACATCATTTTGAAAGTTCAGAACACTGAGGATTAAGAAAAAATAAGAGCTTTCAGAACCACCACCACCATCCCCCCAAAAAAGCCACAGACCTAACCGAAGTTTTGCCTTTAAGAGGATGAGGAGGTCAGAATTAGGGTCGTGGCTGCTGTTTTTTCCATTGTAAACCTGTTAGTACTATTTTACTCCTTTTAACAATGCATATATTACTTTAACACAATTTTTTAGATTGAATATTGCCTCTTTGTGAACATCTTTTTCTTTTATTCAGAGTTTTTAAGGGGGCAACTTTGGCTCCTTATAAGGGGAAACTTTCTAATAAATATAATTACAAAAACAAACTGAACTGCCTATCATTTCAAGTATTCATAAATAGGCTAATAGCCGTTAGTCTGGGATGCTTTGGAGGTGTTAGCAGGTTGGAATAGGTGATGTATAAACTCCTTACTATCTCTTTTGTTTCTGTGATTTTAAGTTTTTGCCTTTTTTCACATTATCATTTGCTCCTTCCTTTCTTTTTTTTTTTTTTTTTTTT